CCCACCCCCCCGCCTTCCAGAGATCGTGGAAGATGTCCCCCCCTCTGATGACGCCCCATGTGGCTTGGGGCAGAAAAGCGCTTCAAGGAGCTGCCACGCCCTTCCCGCAATTCGGCGAGATGATCCGCGCAGATGCAGGCATGCGATGGTTCTGGAGGAGAGAGCTGAAGCGGGATACACACCTCCATCCTGTCCCTCCCCCTCCCCCTTCTCCCTCCCCCGTTCCCTCTTCTTTCTCTCGCTCTCTCTCTCTCTCTCTACCCCCCCACCCCTTTCTGTTCCCCAGGCTTTCCTCCCGAGCCCTTGGGACTACACGTATGATTGGGCAGCAGGGGTACGGAATGGGCACCGTGACATATAAGTGTAATTGTTTTCGAGTATGAGCTAAGCATACCATCGTTCGAATTGGCGTTCTTCAGAAATGGCTTGTTTTCCTTTCCCCCTTCCTCCTTTTTGTCTTTCTGATGAGTTAAGAATGGAGAAAGAATGCTTCGACCTGTGGCATCCTGATTGATGTGTCCCTTTGAAGTGCCTCTTTGAATCGCATCAATGTTGTAACGGGTATCTGCATAATGATTGCTCTGTCGCTCGGCTTGCCTATCTGAATGACATGCTCTATTTGAGTTTAATGATTCGTTGATCGCATCCTTGTCATGCTTATTATGCATCAGCAGTTTAATTCTTCGAAGTATCCTCTTTCCCTCGTTCATTTRWTTCATATTCTTTCATTTCATTGTTTTCATTTCATTTCTTTGTAATTTTTCCGGATTAAGTTGTATGATCGGTGGCCCCGTGAATGGCGAAGCACCTCCACCCCCTGCGTCACTTAAATCGYCGCTTACGCAGGATCGGCCTACTTCGCCCRATAAAACGGCCTATGATTACCTTTACCAATCGGACATACCGAGTGGTCCTACCCCGCCGCTGTTGTTTCGCCTCCCGCGTCTTGCTTAAATTGCTCACAGTGTGCCGACGATTGCTTAGTCGGAGTTGCACGGGCATGACGTGTCGTGTTCGTGCGCAGCGCATGTGGCACACACATGCTACACACTAAAAGGGACATGTCTCCTCTATCACTGTCGGGGGGTGCCCCCCCCGACCACACTGTGATGCGTACTTGCGTTCCTTATACGCCCCCGCGTGGAAACGAGGTGATGTTGCTGGCTATGGGGTACGCCGAGGACGTCTGACGACGGTAAGGGGAATGGCTGGAGAATATGGATTATGAAGACGGCTGTGTATTGTGCGATACTCGGTGAGCAATGGTGTTTCTTAGGGGTCAGCTGGTGGAAGCTTGCTTTGACGAATCTTTGTTGTTCTATTTTGTGTGGTTCCTCCCTTTCCCCCACCCCTGATCCCCGCACACCCCTCCCACACACATTCTTCCGTTCCAACTCCCTCTACGGCTGCCCCTCCGCTCCCACACTTCCCCCTGACACGCCATTCTTCTTCTATTTGCATTCCTCCTTTCGCCGCGCAGACACAGGGACCCCCCAGGGAATCATTTCCGGGAGGATGGTGGAACGAACTAACGCATCGCTTCCCATGGCTAAAAGGGTGTACCTGGCCCGCAAAACCTACGCAAGCCCTGATGACCTGCGTCAACTCCGGGGTCATAAACGCGATAAAGGATGCGTGGGACACCGGACGCTTCCCCCATTTTTTCCAGATGCTCTGCTTTAGCGACATTGCCGTTCTCGCGAGGGCCTGGGAGCGTAGTAGACAGGAGTTTGATGATGAACTGAGGGTGGTATGTGAACGTCTAGAACTAAGGAAGCAGGAGTATGACAGAGAATGCAAGGAATTGGGTGGTAGATCCACAAAGGTCGAACGTATCCTCCTCAGAATTTGGGGAGTGGATAACTCACACCTAGAAGGGCGCGTCCCCGAAACTCATGGGACCGCTTCACCTAACATAGGAGGCGGTCGAATTACGAAATGCGACGATCTTGCGATCGAAGCAGAAGAAAGGGAAGAGATGGAACGGGCCATCGCGGCTATCGCAACCACCATCAGGGACTCCCCCCTCGCGGATAGACAGGATGCCAACAACGCGACGGAACGAGACAGGTACACGGCGTTCGCCCCCATGGCTTCCGCCTACTGGGTGGAACACACATCCACTGGATACAGACGTGCGATCTGGAAGATGGAGACATTTAATCACGTGGCACCCATCTCCATCAGAGCACTCCAGTTCTTGGGCGGTATCACAGACGCGCAAGTGAAGGAATGCAGGACATAAGTACTGAAGGGTAAGTTGAAGTTTTCTGGCAGGGTCCCCCCGCTGGATCCCCAGGACCTCAAGTTCCCATCCATGCGTGCATTCGATCTAGACGAGTGCGGCGAAACAAGCTCCGACATGTGGCAGAAAGCGATCAGGCAGCAGGATAAGGTAGATCTCAGGAGCATAAGGAAGATTTGGAGCGTAGGTAGGCCGTACCTCAAGTGCAAGTGTAAAAAAGAGAGGAACAGAGACTGCGGGGACACCCCTTTGTGGTTTGA